TTCTTCTTCTTCTTCTTCTTCTTCTTCTTCTTCTTCTTCTTCTTCTTCTTCTTCTTCTTCTTCTTCTTCTTCTTCTTCTTCTTCTTCTTCTTCTTCTTCTTCATAAAAAGGCTGAAAGGGGGAGAAATCCGAAATGTAGCTCTGCTTCTGCCACCCCCAGTCAGTTGTGGGCTGAGCATCCACATGGATGCTTGCCTGCCGGCACCTTGCAGTTTCCTAGTTTTCCCTTTTAGTTGGAGCTAAGTTTGGGTGGGGGGCTTTGCTCTGGCTTCAAGGGGAAAGCCTCAGGGACTGCACATGTTGTGCTTGGAATGAGCACGGCGTTGTGTGGAATCACTCCTCCCCCAAGCTGCGGCTGGGGAGAGAATGTGAGGCAAATGCTCTGTGTGGAAGGCACAGCAGGGTCCTGGTGGTGGTTATCGGTATGCCATGTTTACATCATGCCCGTGCTCAGATGAGTATCTGAGTCAGTCAAGGGACTCTGGAGACACTCAGGTAAAGACCGCCGAGCATTGAGGCTGATTCTCCCTTTTATCGGCGCTTGCCTGGACAAGCCCGGTCGAAATGAACGCAGCGGTACTTGAGTATTTACTGTATACGGCCTATTGAATTTAATGTTAGTAGTAAAAAAAATAGGATTGCTTTGATGGTCAGAGAGGTAAGAAACCAGTGGAAGTAGCAACCACATCAGTGACAGAACCGTTGCGGTGTGGTTGTCAGAGCGGTGGACTTAGACCTACGAAATCTGGCTTAAAAACCACCACAATAACAAGCTCCTAGGGGTGGTCTTAGGCATGTTGGTATCTGTCGGTTTAGAAGGCAGGATAAAGCCCCATGTCTCCTGAGCCCTTTGGAGGAAAGGAAAGGCACAAATGTCTGTTAAGTATGTTTTGAGGGGGTGGATAGGTGGGATTTGAGAGGCTGTGTGTGGTAGCCCGTTAAACGTGGGTGGCCTGTTTTGTCTGATCCTGCTTTCCAGTTGTCTCTGTCGAGGCACTACTTGCTCGTAGCCTCGTACAGAGTTCACAGATGAACAAACTCTTATTCTTAATACTCAAACTCCAGTCAGGGTACAGCTGCTCTTCATCTCTGTTCCTCCTCTTTAATTTCACTTTTAGTTTACACTTGGCTTTGGCCTTCCGTCCATGTACGTCTCACTATCTCTGCAAGAGCTCACTTTTTTGTCCTGGTTGCAGTCTTGTGAAACGGGTCATGGCACAAGCTCGATAATTTATTTATTTATTTATTTATTTTATGTCTTGCTAGTGTTATAAGGACAAGCAACGGAACAGCTTATTTTGCATATACCGTGCTTTGTTTATTTGTAACATTTAATATCCTGAAGGGCTCTCACATTGGCTTTACAGACAGAGTAATAAAAAAATGTACAAACAATAAAGGAGTAAAGTAGAAATAATAAACTAAGCATTCCAACTAGTAAAGAAAAATACTGCCAAAAAAGCAGTCCAAAGTCTTCCTGGAAAAAAAGTTGGTTTTTATTTTTATACCCTCCTGCTATGCTTAGCTTTCAAAAAGATAGATACTCCAGAATAATAATAATAATGATAATAATAGTACAGTTGTAATCTATGATTTTATTTAATGTATTTGTAACAGAGTGTCTCTCTACCTGTATATTTTCATAATGACTTTGATTTAGTGATATATGCCAATAAAGGCTGACTTGACTTGACAAGAATAATAAGGGGTCAGAATAAGTGGGATCTGTTTAAATGAACACTAACAAAATATTGTATCAAGAAGCAAAAATGGTGGGTAGATGATCAAGCAGTTGACTAACCGTCCTGAACTTTGAATTTTCCTTATTTGCTCTGTTTTGTACAGAGGATTTAAATTTTCGCTCTGATACTAATTTGGAAGGATTTTAATCTTTGTTGCTTGTCTGCTTGTGTTGTATCTGTCGAATCATTTGGGAAGTCTGCACTTGGTGCTAATGTTGAATTAAGAGTTAACGTTGTGTTATATGTGCAGTGATATAGGCTCACTTGTAAACTTTAGAGAGCATGTTTAAGTAGAACTGATGTAAAATGTTTAGACAAGAAAACTGATAAATAGTGCAGTCCTATGCAGAATCACTCAGGTGATAGACTTAGGTTGGAGTAACTTTCATGGGATTGCACTGGATACGAACAGTATTCTGTTTTGTTAAGTGCTTGTTAATAGGTCAGTGTATTCCTAAGATGTTCTAGTATGTAGAGTAGTTTAAATATCTGATCCCGGAAACCCTAGATTTCGAGTAAAGTTATAAACAAATTGCTTTCTCTAGGTTTACTCTGTAGATATCCAGAAGACGACTATGATTCATTCCCCTTACCAGTATCGGTACCTCTTTTTTGTCTCCCGATGGGGGCAACGATTGAATGCTGGCCAGCCAATAGCAAGTATCCCCTCCCTGTTTTTTCTACATTTGTACTGACAGGAGCTTCAGCTGAAAAGGTACGAATAAAATTGTAGCTAAGTAGAATTTTCAGGTACAGCGTGTGCTTTCGTGTTTCTGATTTTGACCAGTTACTCATAAAAGTTCTTGCAATTACTTCAAGTCACTGTAAAATCTAGACACAAACTGGCTTTAATTCCCTTTCTCTGGGAAACCATGGGAGCTCTGAAGGGTACTAGCAGTCTTCAACAGAGACTTCCCTGTGCCTTGTGCAAGTACAGTTACAGGCTGCAGTTAACTCCACAGTAGGAAAAAAAAGCAGATAACAAGTCCTGTACCTGTTTTTTCCCCTATTCCCCAAAACTAATTTTAGTTCAACAAGGGCACTAAAGTGGGATAGGTGATTAATATTCTCTTTTCCCAGTCCTCAAAGCCACTGTGTGGGGCTACTAATTAGCTTTTTTTTTTTTAAAGCAAGAATCCTAATCTGTGATCTCTGTTTTCACATCTTGTTTGATCCACAGTTTAACCAGTGTGAAATAAATACAGAGATTATGTGATGCTGTCTGAGTGTAAACATTTACCCTCTGAGTCTGAATGTTATAACCAAGGTAGCATTATATTGTTGCAAAAAAATCTTCTTGTGGATTGGTGCTTTTGTGGTGAAGATAAAATATGTTTGCACATACTGGTAAAACATAACTGACACCTTCCGCATATTTGCTTGCTGGCCAGAAGCTGTTTTAGTGTTGTTTACATTGAAACCTGTATATTTACTTTTCTGAATTGCTGAAAGTGTTTTATGATATCTACAAGGGGGGGGGAACACTTGCTAGGGGGAGGGGAATCTTTCTTCCCCTACTTCCTCACCTCTTGCTGCGTCCACTTCCCCTCCTGACTGGTGGTGTGTTTCTTCTCCTTCCCATTGTATATTTCCCTCCCCCTTCAGGGTGGGAAAAATGGGGCTGGGGTGAAGGTGTTGATGACAGCATTTGTTGAGACAAACCTGGATTGCGTGCTCTTGTTTCACAAACTAGCCACAGTTACAATAAACCCATGATTTTGAGTAATGTCTGAACCAAGCCTTTAAATCTCTTAAAGTACCTTCCCTCGAACCTGAACATGACAGTCGAGGAAAGAATACCACAGGGGACAGAATAATCTCAGCTAAATCAATTGTGTTTTCATTTGCAGGTGTATGGTGCTGCTATTCAGTTCTATGAAACATATCCTGAAGAGAATCTGACAGAGAAGCAGAAATCTCAGCTGGGCTTACCAACGACTCCTGACAGGAAGTCTGCTAGTTCCAAAACAGTGCAGACTAACAAATGCATCTGCCTTCTTTCTCACTGGCCTTTCTTTGACGCTTTCAAGAAATTCCTCACCTTTCTGTACCGTTATTCCATCTCTGGTCCTCACGTTCTGCCTATCGAGAAGTGAGTTCTGTGACAGATCTTGCATTTCTTTATTCTTGTTATGGTACAATTTTATGACGTATGGTGACCAGTTGCCACAAAACTCTGGTGTGTCCAAATGTGTTTGGGTTCCCTGCCTCAACCTCTGGTGTGTCCAAATGTGTTTGGGTTCCCTGCCACAACCTCTGGTGTGTCCAAATGTGTTTGGGTTCCCTGCCTCCCATCATTGGCTCAGTTCAGACATCACACGAAACTACGATTAAGGCAGCTTTGCCTATGGCTTTGTGTAAGAAGCCTATTGATTAAACTTGGCTTGTAATCCAGAAAGGGAAACCGTGATTTGAAATGGGCTTGCAAAATAAGTTTTGTTCCACTTTCAGAGGTCGCTGTGCTTAGACACTGAAATGCTGAGCAGATGGGAAATTGAAATAGGCGAGAATCTCTGTGGCATGGCTCGTTTAAACCATGGATTGCAGTTTGGTGTAGTGGTTAAGTGCGCGGACTCTAATCTGGGAGAACCGGGTTTGATTCCCCCACTCCTCCACTTGCACCTGGCTGGATGACCTTGGGCAAGCTGTAGTTCTGATAAGAGCAGTCCTTGAAAAAGAGCAGGTTCTGTCAGAGCTCTCTGAGCCCCACCGACCTCACAGGGTGTCTGTTGTGCAGGGCTCTTTTTGTAGCAGGAACTAATTTGCATATTAAGTGACACACCCCTAATGTAGTCAATCCTCTGAGAGTAGCCCCTGTAAGAAGAGCTCTGTAAGCTCTTGGAGGATTGGCTACGTTACGGGTGTGTGGCCTAATATGCAAAGGAGTTCCTACTACAAAAAGAGCCCTGTCAGGGAAAGGGAAAGGAGTTTGTAAGCTGCTCTGAGACTCCCTTGGGTAGTGAAGGGCGGGGTATAAATCCAATCTCTTCTTCTTCTTTGTGAAAATCATGATTTGATGTATTCTCTGAGGGCCTGATGCCTCATACATTTTACAGGTCCACCTTGCAGACATGTACTGGGAGTTTGATGTTGAAACGTAGACATCTAGGGGCCCAGATAGGCTCAGGGTTTCAGCATGTGAGGAGAAGAGGGTGCATCTGCCTGTGTCCCCCCCCCACACACACTTGCAGTTTCCCCAACCCAGATCAGCCTTTGAGCACCCTGTCAGTGATGAAACCTTTTTGTAGCCCATCATTTCCCCAGCAGATCAAACAGTGACTCTCGGGGGCCATTTCAGGTTGGGAAAACAGGATATGGGGAGGCTCACACCCCTTTTCCTTCTGTCCCTGATCCAAATTATGCCTCCACCTCATATGAACATATGAAACTGCCTTATACTGAATCAAACCTTTGGTCAGGGGTCATTTCCTGCGGGAACGCACAGGAGCGGAGCTCTGGCAGTAAGGAGCCCAGGGGGTGGACACATGTAACAAGCCCCGCCCCCTGCTCCCAGCAGCTCTCAGTTGGGCCACGAGGAGCAAGAAGCAGCCAGGTAAATTGCAGAGCCCCCCCAGCCCGCCTTCAGGTACAAGCTCTCCCTCCTCTGCGAGGACAGATCTGCACATTCTCCCCCCCCCCCAATAGCTAGCAATCCAAAACAGTCCAGTGGAGCCTGAGCAGTGGGTGTTGCCTTCTGACACACTTCCAGTGATGTCAGGGGGTGTGGCATATGCAAATAAGTTATGCTAATGAGCTCCTGCACCACTTTTTCTACGAAATGACCCCTGCCTTTGGTCCATCAAAGTCAGTATTGGCTATGCAGGCTGGCAGTGGCTCTCCAGGTTCCCAGGCCGAGGTCTTTCACACCACGTACTGCTCGGTCCTTTTAACTGTAGGTGCTGAGGATTGAACCGGGGGCCTTCTGCATGCCAAACAAATGTTCTGCCACTGAGCCATGCCCCCCCCCCTAAGTTTCAGCAGGGAACTCCTGGAGCACATCTGCTTGACTGGATGTGGGGTGGATATGAAGCAGACCTAAAAACAGTGCACTGCAAGTTTGGGTTCTGAGCTGAGCTCCTAAACCCTGATCCATCTAGATCTTTTCAGTCAGTTCTCTGGTACTGCGGAAAGACTAAGCGGCCGCAAAACTGTTCCTCATTTTGTAAATGTGTGCATGTCTGATCGCTCCTGACATGTAATGGCAGCTTCTGGGAGACCAAGCATCATTTTCTTTTTGTAAATTGGAAAGAAAGCATGTGGTTTCCCCCCCCCCCCTTCTTTTCAGGCTATAGATGTGGCGCAAATGACCCGTATATGCAATTGCGGCAGGCAGGCCAAACTGATTCAGGGCCCAGCAACTTCTGTTGCTTTCACTTTGCTAGCTTCCCTACAGCCTGCTTGCCCTCCGTGGTGCCCGTGTGAGTCATCAGGCATCGCCGTTTGAGGAAACTCTGCATTGAAGCAGACAGGCACAACAACTCACTGGAGCCAGTCATTTGAGAAATCGTTTTATTCTTTTTACGTGCTGTTGTAGTCTCTGGTTATGCTTGTCATGGACTGAGAGCAAGACAAGACCTTTCCTCTCAGAAAGGGCTGCCATTTATGGGCAACAGGGAGGCTTGGGAATCCCCGTTTCTGCTGGAGCTAGATGCTTCACATCATTTGGGGAAGATAAGAAATCCCCATCACGTATGGACTCCTGTCTGTTGGCTGATGAGTTCCGGTGCACCAGATTGGCTTGGTCAGGGGTGTCAAATGTACAGCCTGTGGGCTCTTATCCAGCCCACAGATAACTGAGCTGGTTTGGTGTAGTGTTTAAGTGAACATAAGAACATAAGAGACGCCAATGTTGGATCAGGCCAAAGGCCCATCTAGTCCAACACTCTGTCACACAGTGGCCAGAAATACCAGGTGCCATCAGGAGGTCCACCAGTGGGGCCAGGACACTAGAAGCCCTCCCACCTTTGGCCCCCCAAGCACCAAGAAGACAGAGCATCACTTGCCCCAGAGCCCCTATCTATACCTTGTGGCTAATAGCCACTGATGGACCTCTGCTCCATATGCCTATCTAATTCCCTTTTGAAGCCATCCATGCTTGTAGCCGCCACCACCTCCTGTGGCAGTGAATTCCATGTGTTAATCACTCTTTGGGTGAAGAAGTACTCTAAGAAGGACTCTAATCTGGGAGAACCGGGTTTGATTCCCCACTCCTCCACTTGCAGCTGCTGGATGACCCTGTGCAAGCTGTAGTTCTGATAAGAGCTGTTCTTGAAAAAGGGCAGTTTCTGTCAAGAGCTCTCTCAGCCTCCCCTACCTCACAGGGTGTCTGTTGTGGGGTGCGGAAGAGAAAGGAGTTTGTAAGCCACTCTGAAACTCCTTTGGGTAGTGAAGAGCAGGGTATAAATTCAATCTCTTCTTCTTTATTGCCAGATGACAACAGACTGTGCATTTTGTCCCTGTAATACTGTCCCAGTTCTAATGAGTAACGGGCGGTGGAAGTGGGAGGGGTGGGCATCAGGGAGATACTTTCAGTAAATACTGTAAGAGAGTTAATGTTTTAAGCATGTTTGTATTTTGAGTAAAATAATATCATTAATTGGGCTTGCCTATGTCCTTCATTCCTGCCAACCCAGCAGTTCGAAAGCAAGAAATTGCAAGTAGATAAATAGGTACCACTTTGGTGGGAAGGTAACAGCATTCCGTGCGCCTTGGTGTTTAGTCATGCTGGCCGCATGACCACGGAAATGGCTTCGGACAGCGCTGGCTCTTCGGCTTTGAGACGGAGATGAGCACCGCAACCCTAGAGTCGGACTTGACTGACTTTCGAGCAAGGGAACCTTTACCTTTATGTCCTTTATAAAGTTTATAGCTCCCGTACCTGGTATGACATTTTATGGCACACATGGCCCGGCCCAACAAAGTGACATTCATGTCAGATCTGGCCCTCATAAGAAATGAGTTCAACACCTAGCTGCTAGGTCCTTTCTACACATGAGCATTGAAAAGGAGCTACTCTGTGGGTATGACTTTGGGGGAGTGTGTACGCATGAAGCTGCCTTATACTGAAACACGCCGTTGGTCCATCTGGGTCAGTATTGTTTTCTTAGACTGGAAGAGGCTCTTCAGGATCTCAGGCACAAGTCTTCCACATCACCTACTACCTGATCCTTTTAACTGGAGGTGCTGTGGATTGAACCTGGGCCCTTCTGCAAGCCAAAGAGATGTTCTGTCACTGAGCTATGGCCCCTCCCATGTTAATGGCAACCAGAAAACATCCTCTTTACTCATGTACCCGTATACATCTTCGTGTTGGGAGGGAAGAGCAGATGCCAGGCACTGTAGCTTCCGAGTTAATTTTGAAATATTTCTGTGTTTCATTTTCTTTGTTTTTATCTGCACCATAATTTATGTAGGTCTGTATATACTAGGGCTAGGGTGTCAAACTCATTTGTTTGGAGGGCCAGATCTGACATAAATGAGACCTTGTTGGGCCGGGTCATGTGTGTCATAAAATGTAATGCCAGGTAGCGGAGATATAAGCTTTATAAAGGACACAAATACAAAAGGTTTTTTTTTAACTTAAAATAAAAACATGCTTAAAACATTAGCACTCTTGCAATATTTTGTTTATTTAACAGTGTCTGATAACTGACACCTCTTGCTCTAAATTATTGCATCGAAATGTCTTTGCTGTTGCAATCTTGAGTATGCTGTTCAGGGGTGTATCTGTAATCTGCCAACCTACGATGATGCAGCAGAACTGGAAGAAGAAGCAGAAGACAGCCAGTTCCACTGCGAGCCTGAGAGAAGCCCTCCGGGGGCCTGGTCTGGCCCCTGGGCTGCATGTTTGACACCCCTATACTAGGGAGATAAAGGTAAAGGTAAAGGTTCCCTTGCTCGAAAGCCAGTCGAATCCGACTTTAGGGTTGCGGTGCTCATCTCCGTTTCTAAGCCGAAGAGCCAGCGCTGTCCGATGATGTTTCTGTGGTCATGTGGCCGGCATGACTAAACACCAAGGCGCACGGAACGCTGTTGCCTTCCCACCAAAGTGGTACCTATTTATCTCCTTGCAATTTCTTGCTTTCAAACTGCTAGGTTGGCAGATACTAGGAGAATAAAGCTTGCATTTATTTATGAGATTTAATGACTGACAGGATTCCTACCTGTGAGACCTTTGTTGTGGCCAACATTACCAAAGCATCCCTTTTTAATGCTCCTTCTGGCATAAAACTGGAAAGGAGGATTAAAAAACCCCAGGGTGGCAGTGTTTGGAGGGACAGCGCCCCCCCCCCCCCCAAGCGCTTGAGAGAGAGGGAGAGAGAGAGGGAGGGAGTTGGGGAGCCTAAAAGGATTTCTGCTGAAAAGAGTGGTTTCCTTCCGCAAAAGCAGCTTTCCCCTGGCTTCTGAGCAAGGCTGGGTCTCGCTCACCTACTTTGTTGGCTGGTTATACAAGTAAAGAGTGAAGGTGGCTGGGCAGACGCAAGGGTGGAAACCTCACCATACTAACATGTTCAGTCTATTGTGCTCTACGAAGCTGAAATCAGTATTTCCTCTTTCTCAGGCATATTTCTCATTTTATGCACAAAGTTCCTTTTCCATCCCCACAGAGGCCCAGAATTTTAGTCCAGGTGAGTGTTAATTCATCCTTGCTGATACCGGGTTGATTTCTGAGCTGATTCTTGCTTGCGTGTTCGTATCTTGGGTTACTGTGCACTTGATGGCTCCATAGATGACTATGTGAACTGACTCCCATTAGAGGTCATCGTGCCTGAAGTGGAATGAAAGATCAGTCAGTGATGGCTCATTTATACATGGAATTTCCCATGATGCTGCAGCTGTCAAGTGATGAAGTGTGTGTGAACCTGCCTGTAGTTTTGGCGAGTCTGCATTATAGAGTCTAGAAAAATATGAGAGATTTCTTCATAAGGCACCATCTTATATGAAATATTGCCTTTTGAAGTTTTGGGTGAATTGTGTTCGAATCACCTGGTCTGAGGCAACAGAACAAAATTTGAGTCCAGCGGCACCTTTAAGACCAACAAAGTTTAATTCTGGGTATCAGCTTTCATGTCCATGCACACTTCTTCAATGCACACACATACAAAAGCTCATACCCAGAATTAAACTTTGCTGGTCTTAAAGGTGCCGCTGGACTCAAACTTTGGTCTCTCACCTCTTCATTGTTATTTATTCCTTTTTGTATGATTCTTTTATGCACCTTATACTATTAATGTACAGTGAAAATGGATGCTGTTATCTTCTGTTGTATATATTATTTGAAATTTTTTATCATTTTCAATTAGTGGGCTCAAGGCGGTTTTTTTGCACATTTCTTTTCACCTAAATGTTACACCCTTCTGAACTGCTGTTTGTTTGAAGGGCTTCCTCCTCCTTTTTTCTTTTGATCATGTTATATGGACCAGTGATGCCATTTTCTTAGCTGTATCAAATCCCTGACATTTCTGAGCGCTGTTCCTTGTATCTGAAGATGCACACACAGGGCCAAATCACACAATAGGAATTGCCCCACTTCTCAGCTGCATGTGCTCCTCCAAAATGGGGCTAATAACTCCTGCCTCCCCCTGCCCCCTGTGCTATTTCCCTGAGTTGAAGCAGGCCTCATGGACTTTGAAAAAGCTGCTGCTTGGTTGCAGGCAATGCTCCCTCTAAGCTGTGGAGTCTTGTGAGCAAAGATTCTACTTTGTGAGCTGCTGGCATTAAAGTTGTGAGCGAGCGATTTGGCTGCTGCATGAATTAGTTTGCTCTGGAGCCACATCCTTCCTGAGCTAAGACAAAAACGTTAGCCGGAGGCTAAAAAACTGAGCTGGCTCACACTAACTCAGCTTAGAGGGAACACTGGTTGCAGGGAAAGCGAATTGGATCTGGGGAACCAGGATCTGCCTTGTTAAAAACCATGTAATGTGGCTGGGGCCAACATCACATTCCTACAGGGCACGGTGATGCTTTCACAGACTGGGCTGTTTTTCAAAGTCCTGACTCCTTTTATCGGACGTCCTTGCTTACCTTCTCAAGGGCATCGCTGAAGAAACCTTTGGGGAAGAGGATATCCGTGTTAAATTATTCAGCCAGTTCATTAGCATGTATAAGTAAACAGACCAGTGCTGGCATGAACTCCTTGAAGCTGCAGAACTGGACCATGAGTGTTAATACAGGCATCATCAACGATGGGATTGTCCCGTTCATAGCAACGGTATTAATTTTGTGAAGCTAATAAACATTTACTGAAATTACCTTCTCGTAGTACTTGTTTAACATGCCAACACCCTTTGCCAAGTGCTTTGTGAAGTCTTTAATCATCTTAAGTGCAGCAAATAGCAGGGGCACTTTCTATGAAAGAATAGCTATTTACCATGTCTGTCATTGCTAAATATGACCAGTTGCTGTAATATCGGATAAAAATAAATGTTAATAAGTGATTTCATAGGTATTTGGTGTCCATAAGATAATGTTCATATAGAAAACCTCTTTTCTTTTTCTTTTCTTTTTTTGTCTCAAGCTATCACCTCATGACAGTTTGATCCTTAGTCAACCCATATCATCACCTCTACCACTGAGGCAAGTAAAAGCATTAATTTTTTATTGAGTATTCATTAGCTGAGGGATGTGCAGCAATTTGAGAATGTGCTATAAGGGAACACAAAAGAGGCAAACATTTGGAGCGAGAAAAATTGCTTTCATTTGCATGATGAGAAAAAAAATTAAAATAGTTTGAAATATAGTTTTTCCATATGAAGAATGGCAGATTTTACCACTGTTGTCTCTACTGCCCTAGAGTTCATCATAATACTTTGTGTTCTTAAGTACTTAGATACATATCTTTATTTAAGAGGAGGGAGAACCAAAGAGAAAATTGCTTTGCTTTACCTATTTTTAGCACCATATAATGCTAGCGCTATTCAACAATCATTGTTGAGTTATTCATCTCTGGGCTTTTCTTCTTTGATAGCGGGGGAAAGTTTTCTACTCTTCTGCAGAATCTTGGACCTGAGAATGCAGTAAATCTCCTTGTATTTGCAGTGACTGAACATAAAATCCTTATTCATTCTTTACGGCCTTCTGTCCTAACAAGTGTAACAGAAGCACTTGTCTCTGTAAGTATTTTGTGTCATCCCATCTCCCCCCCCCCCAAAAAAAAAGTTGATTGGCGATAGAATGTCCAAAGCTCTAGGGAACAGAACACATCCTCAGTGTTATATATTGATTGATGTTTTTATGGAGTGCATTCTCCATTTTAAAATTTACCAGACTGTTTCCAACAATAAAAGATATAAACTTTACAATTCATTACCAAATCAAAAACAAATAATATATTCGAAAAGTATAATAAATAGCCAGCAGCAGATAAATAATTAAAGTTCATTATGTATATTAAATATCAGTAGCAAAACAAACAAATGAACATCAGATAAATAATTAAAACTCAATTATGTAGAGTGGCTAACCATAGCAAGCATATAGTCTACAGGGACACAAAAAAATATAACAAAATCCAAAGAAACAGCCTGGAAAAGCCATGGGAATTTTTTTAAAAAGTCTTTATCTGATGCCGAACAGCCATGTGATTTTGCACCCCAATAGAAAAGACTGTGTCCTTATTGGCCACCCGCCCCACCTCTGAAGTTAGCGGGACGTGGTAATTGGAGCAAGGCTGCTGAAGAAGAAGACGAAGAGATTGGATTTATACCCCACCCTTCACTATCCAAAGGAGTCTCAGGGCTGCTTACAATCCCCTTTCCCTTCCCCTCCCCACAACAGACACCCTGTGAAGTAGGTCAAGCTGAGAGCTCTTTTAAGAACTGCTCCTGAGAGAACAGCTCTGCTAGAACTTGTGACTGACCCAAGGTCACACCAGCAGCTGCATGTGAAGGAGTGGGGAATCAAACCCGGATCTCCCAGGTTAGATTCCATACTCCTAACCAGGTAATAATAGGCAGTAAAGCTTGTATGGGAGCAGAAGGTCCTTCAAACTGTTCAGGGCTTTAAAGGTAAGAACTAGCGTTTTAAATTAAGCCTGGGAATAAATTGTTAGTCAGTGTGCCGGCCAGTTGTGACCCAATAGTCTGCATTTTTCCACAGCCTCACTGATGCATTCAGTGAACTAGTTGTGAAAATTCCGGGTGAGTATCCAGATCATAGGAGGTAGAATAGGCTTGTTTATATGGTATTATGGCCAGGATCTCAGATCACATGGAACGGGTTCCGTGAGCCCAAAGGAGCTTCCCCTAACTGTATGGTCAACCACTGAGGGATGAGTGTGTGTGTTTGGGTGTATCATGTTCTAAGTATCTTGTTTGTTGTTTTACCTTAGCCTCCAGAGGATGTTTATGCAGATGGCCCTTTTAAGTTGTTTTGTCATCTGAGGCTTGACTATTCTGTCTTCCAGCAGGAGAGAATGTTTTGTTTCAGACTGGCGAAGCAAGCCTTGGGCATGATCCCATGGAATATTCTTTTATGCAAGCTCTAATGGTGTGAATGGGAACAGGCTAATACTTTGGGCAATTACCATTTGTTTTACTAGGGCTTTTGCGTGTGAGAAGTTCCTGGAGGCCTCTTTTTTTTTTTTTTGCACGAGGCAAAATGCTCAGCGTTTTAAAAAGAAGGGGCTTGATACCTCTCCCACAGTATCCACATAAGAGTTGCGTTGTTGATAAGTAATGTTCATGTTGAATGTGCTTCGTGGGGGGACAACTGTCTGCAGCTTTTCTGCTTATTTATATCCAATGCATATGTTTTTCTCTCTTTTTTTAAACAAGATGATATTTCCTTTCCACTGGCCATGCCCGTACATCCCTCTTTGCCCTCTGGCCTTGGCAGATGTTTTGACTGCGCCATGCCCATTTATTGTGGGAATTGATTCAAGATACTTTGATCTCTACGACCCGCCGCCAGATGTTAGCTGCGTCGACCTAGATACAAACACCATTTCACAGTAAGCACAAAGTACTTTTCTTTTACCGTATTGCAGTAATTTAGCAGCAAGCACAGCAACGGAATCTGGTTTTCTCCATCTCCTGCTTACCAAAGGAAGAAAACCATGATATCTTTTCCCACGTATACTTCTGCTATTTGGTGACTTTACAGCTGAACATGTGAATTGACTCTCCCCAAAAACATTCTGTTTTGATTTGAGGGGATCATTCTGTCTGTGACAGTTGATTTGACGTGGCTCATTCTCACACATACTTGTCACATAATAACAGGGGTCATTTCGTAGAAAAAGAGGTGCAGGAGCTCATTAGCACAACTCATTAGCATAACTTATTTGCATATGCCACACCCCCTGACATCACTGGAAGTGTGTCAGAAGGCAACACCCACCGCTCAGGCTCCACTGGATTCTTTTGGATTGCTAGCTATTGGGGGGGTGGACATGCACATCTGCCCTCACAGAGGAGGGTGAGCTTGTACCTGAATAAAACTTGGGCTTAAAGGTGCCACTGGACTGTTTTGGACCAGGGGGCCGGGGGGAGCTCTGCAAGTTACCTGGCTGCTTCTTGCTCTGACTGAGGGCTGCTGGGAGCAGGGCTTGTTGCATGTGCCCGCCCCCCCCTGGGCTCTTTACTGCCGGAGCTCCGCGCCTGTGCGCTCCTGCAGGAAATGACCCCTGCATAATAATAATAATAATAAGAGATTGGATTTATCCCCCGCCCTTCACTACCCAAAGGAGTCTCATAGTGGCTAACAATTTTGTTCCCCTTCCCCTCCCCACAACAGACCCCCTGTGAGATAGGTGGGGCTGAGAGAGCTCTTTTGAGGACTGCTCATGAGAGAACAGCTCTGAGAGAACTTGTGACTGGCCCAAGGTCACACCAGCAGCCGTATATGGAGGAGTGGGGATTCAAACCCAGTTCTCCCCGATTAGAATCCATGCTCCTAACAACTACACCAAACTGGCTTGCTTACTTACGCATGATAAATATTTCAGAATATTTTGTATACATTATCGCTGTGATTCTTACAACCAGCCCTCTAATGCAGTGCTGTAGTAATTCTGAACTGGGGCAGAGGCTGAGAGCAAGGTCATGTATTAAGCTCCAGTATTCTTAGCAAGCACACTATTGTTATTTTATTTAGAAATATACATGGGCAGGACAATTGTGTGTTGCTACACTTTTCCTCAGCACTAGTCCCTGTTATTAGAGGATCCCGCAGACATGGGGACTTGCCAATAAATGTACATTAATCGTCTGAATAATTTCCAAATCATATCTTCTTAATAATTTCTGCAGTTTGGAAAGCCGGTAGCTTTCCTGAAAGCGTCAGTTGAAGCTTACATGGATAAAGGCTGCCACTAAAGACCACACGTTTTGAAAGCAGAACTGAGATTTTCCTCCTGTAGTTCTTGGTGGTCTAGCCTTTGCCAACTTTATCCAGGAGTAAAACTGCATAAGAAGGTTGTCTGTAAAGGAAATAAATGTTGTGTGCAAGTTCTGTTCTTTTTAAAACTTAGCCGCTCTCAATTCGTAATTTTGTTAAAGCATATAAGGTAATCTTGGTAGTTTACCTGTGTCTGAAGATATAATTGGTCCTTAATCTTTTTTCCCCAAGGAGATGGAAGGAAATCAGTGTTTTTGTACAACTATGTTACCTACATATACCAATTTAATTGTCACAGCTTCTCCCAAGGGAGCCTGGGAACTGTTGTTTGCTACTGTGGATGAGAATTCTCTGTGCCTGCCCC